ATTGCTTCAGACTTCTGAGATGAATCTCTTTTCATAGTCACCCTTGGATGTTGCATCACATGGGGTGAACCTATTCTGTAAAGCTATTAGGGGCAAGGTGATCTGTCCAGTTCAGGAGCAGGAGAAGGCTGCTTTTTCTCATCAGTTTTTATGATAGATACTTATCGGAATATTACTTAAGGCACCTGATTAGCCGGCCGTTCCTGTGTAACAAATCCATTTCAATGAGAAGCAAACTGCAGTAAATGATTAACATAATCTTCTTTACTAATGACTATGGGTTTTTCATTTAATGAGTCACTTTGGAAAGTCAGAAGGGGAAACAGGGCCACTTTTTAATATATATATTTATATATATATATATATACACACATATATATAAATTATCACAGTGCAGCCATTTGCATGTAGAAGCCCAGTGCTGTGTCTCAAAGCAACTATATCAAACATGCAGTACGTGTGCTCACTCAGATACGTACAGCTCACTTGCAAAAGGGAATGTGTTGCACGGGTTTTACAGAATTACTATTATGGTCATGATTAATGATTTTGTTATCCAAGCAGTGAAACCACAAGACTTCATGACCACCATAGCAATCACAGCGTTCTAGTACGTGCGGCACAAGCTTCTCTAATTGAGCATTTGAGGGCGTGTTGAAACAGAGGTTCTTACCGGACTCCCTGTTCCAGCAACTTTAGTTTTGGGTTATGTGGCTACTGGGCATGTTTTCAATAGTTTTCCCTCAGAAACAAATACTGGAGCTGGATCAGTTTCAACAGGCTTTAGAGGAAGACAGTGTTTCTCTGACAAGACCGGTGGCTCGATTGTTTGGGATGTTTCTCCATCAGTGAAATAGCCTGGCTCTGGTGACCACATCCTTTCTAGATGTATTCCTCTAGGTGAGTGTGTTGTATTTGTGTTACCTGCAACAAACCTCTCATGTCTCCCTCCTCCAGCATCCTCCCCAGAATTTTCACAGCTATGCTGGTGGTAGAAAATCCCAGTCAAGACCCGTTGTTGTCGTGGGGGACAGAAGTTGTTTTGTTTCCATCACCAACAGACTCTTGTCATCATCTGTTTGTAGTGGCACTTGGCTGAAGATGAGAGTGCCTTTTCTTTGAGAACATGCCTAATTGTCGCCAGTCACCAAGTCCAGGTTCCGTCCTGGTGGAGTGGTACTGAGAGAACAGAACAATTCTGAAGGCCTGAGCATCGTCACGCCTTTGATCCTCAGTCACTTACTTTCTTCTGAGGGTTTCCATATGGTTTCTTGAGCAATGTTTTAACTATGAACTCTGTCAGAAGTGCCTCCTTGTGTCTGAACCTTATGTGAGCCTGTTCCAGTGAATGCTTTGTGATCTTCTTTTCTGAGGAATACCAATAGGATAATCTCTTCCTATGCGTGTTCCCAAGGGACTTGGGATTCAGTAAACTTCTTCTCTTCCCATCTTCTTGGTCCCTTCCATCATCTCTTTTCCAGGCTGAAGAGACACAGGCTCTTTAGTTAGCTGTTGCTGAGAAGCCATTCCATGTCCTTGATTGTCCTGACCATGGCTCTGTGGGCTTGTGATGGAAATACCTTTATTGACACAGGGGCAGAGCCACAGACAGATGGGGGAAGCTCAGCAGATATATGCAATGCCTTGATGGTCATCCTCATTGCTGCTGCTTGATTTTGTTTAATATGCTGCTGAGCCACCAAGCTGACACTGTCACAAGGCTGTCTGGTTTAATCCCAAGACCTCTTTCCTGAACAGCAATAGCTGGCTCAGAGTGCATCACTGTACACGTCAGATGAAGGTGTTTCTGTCACTTTGCTCTTCAGTGGGAAGATTTTGTTTTACTATCCAGTCTCTCAGCATTATGACATTCTTAAGCAAGTTTTCAGGATCAGCTTTCATTTTTTACCTCCTTGAGTAATTTAAGTTTCATCAGAAAACTGTGTCATCTTGTTCATTTCTCTCTTCAGCTCATTGATGAGTATGCTCGCCAGCACAGGGGAGGGTCCTGTGGGGTTCACTAGTGACCTGCTGCTTAGGAGAGGGGTATTTTCTACCTTTTATTCCCAATCTTCAAACCATATATGAGAAGAGAGAGCCTCCTTTCTTCTGCTATAGAAGTTTGAAGCTTTGATGGGGGACCTTGTTGGAAAGTAACAGTGCCTATCCCAGCCAGTGTACCAGCAAGGTAACCCTGCACACACTGCATTTGTCAACAGTTGCCTTTAGAGTCACCGAACAGGAGGCAGCATGAACTGTTTTACGGACCAGTGAGCAGAGCCCTAGTGTGGGATAACTTGCTTTCCCCCATTCTGGGCGCTTAGAGTAAGTGTTTGTGTTGGCAAACTGCCCCTCTAATCTGAGGACATTGAACGTGGAAATACAGCAATTTTTAATAAGGTGAAGGCAGAGGCCAGAGCCACAGCCTCTGTGGTATGCTGCAAACAGGTTCTGTAGCCATGTCAACACATGTGGAGGAGAGGCTCCATTGCCCTGCCGGGTCTGAAGGAGAAGAAGGTGTGGAGGAAAGCAAGGGTAGATACGAATCGGGCAAGATAAAAATCGCCACAGCCTCTTTTCCAGTTGCCTATTGCAGAAACTGCCTTCCCCGAGAGGCAGCAAATAGCACGCAGTTTGGAGGGCTGGTTATAGCTCCCAGCTGCCCCGCTGAGATTATCTTAGCAGTTATATCCAGTTTGGGATTTTTATTTTCATCCAGGAGGGTGCGGGGCTTGCAGGCCAGTATGTGCAGCCTCCTCCACTTGGGTAACTTTCCCAGGCTTCCTTATTTTGACCATGAGCACCTATGATGTTTTCGGAGTGTATGCATGAAAGGCTTGTCCCAGCAGGGCTCAGCCACGGTTCCAGTGAAGGTAAAGGGTCCTGCTGCATGGCACGGCGTTAAAGCCCTGCCTCCTTTCTGGTTCATGGCAGTCAAAGTTTAACTTTGAGAGCACGCTGCAGGCTGAGGCTGCCCGGAACATGGGGTGTGTGCCTTTCTGGTGGTGTTCTGAGCTTAAATTGCAGCTTGGCATCTGGGTCTGCACCGCACACAGCACTGTGAAAAGGTACTCATGTGAGGAGGCTGTTGTAACTAAATCCTAACTCTCCTTTGGTTTTCCAGATAGATTGGAAGCTCAGTGTTACTATGAAGTACTTGCTTGTAGAAGCTGCTTGTTTTCTCTTGAAATGCCCCCAAAATATTCTAGGTATTGTAGGACCTAAAGTCCTCCAAGAATTGTCTTTGAAGGGTTTAAATGCCAGATTTGAAGTGCCTTTGTCTTACAAGTCACGACGACTGAGTTGATCAAACCACTTTTCATAAAGAGCCTGAATATCAGTGCAGTTACATTAGGCAGGCATTAGCTACCTTTAGAGTTCTGCTTCTACAAACTGGTTTTAAAAAAGAAGGAGAAAAAAACAACCAAAACAAACACATGCATTAAAAGTCTGTTCCTAATGGGCGGGTCTGCCATTCGGAACTCATTCTGCTTGTTGCACCTCTCTGATAACGCAGCCTGGCGTTACATCACACTGCAAACAGATCTGTGTGTTTGCTTTCAACAAAGTAAGTTGGGAGTGCAGTGCTTTTTAAGTGCTGTACCAGTTAAAGAGGATCAACATCTGGCTTGTGTTGTAATGCTTTAAGGTGTTCTCACCTTTGGACAAAGTCTTGCAGAGCGTTGTTTTCAGAATAAACAGATATCCACAATGAACGTTCTTGTATTCTTGGAGTAAGAGACATGTCTAGTACGATTCATTGGAAAATAACATTCAGAGGGTGCATTCTTGACAAGGAGAGAAGGTTTTTCAGGTGAAACCAGTCTTCTCCCATTACCGATACAACTTTTTTCCGCTCTGGAGGTTGCGTCTCTAGCTAACTGTTGTGGCAAATGGAAACCTTTCCCTTTGACTCAAGCACAGCTTATTCGTTGGACGGGGGTGGAGATTTTTCGTAGTTCAAAGTACCAGTATTTAGTGCAGTGTTCCAGCTCTTCTGATGCATGAAGGCTCTTTTTCCTGCTCATGGTCTGTTAGCGTATTTAACAGTGGTCCTCTCATGATAATACAAAAAAAGCCCAAGCGATCTATGAAAAGAATTAATGGGTAAAATCCTGAATGTCGGGGTATCGCATGGAAACAGTTTTAACCAAGGAAGGAATATGGAGTGAGGGTGGCTAAGAGTAGTACCCCACTGTGTACTTCTCTAGGAAGAAAAATACATAGATTAAGAAGCTGCAGGTATTGGCAATGCCAGGTTATTGTGTGGTATTTCACCCTTTCGTGATCGTTGTTGTGTAATGATGTAGCCAATTAACCTAAAGAAGGCGGTCACCATGAGGCAGGGATGTATAAAAATACAAGTAACACTCATTGCACATTAGAAATGTGCAAAGGGAAGGGGGGGAAAGGTCCCTGAAGTTTCTAAAAGGAAGCTGATTGTTCAAGTAGCCTGTGATGAACTGGAATTCAGTGAGTGTTTTGAGAACTTGTAGGGGAGTTTTTGGCTTAATGGGATGCCTGCAGGTTAACAGAATTGCCAGGTTTTTTTGTAGCCTGAGTAGCTATCAATCAGGGTACAGCCTGGGCATACAGATGCGCAGTCTGAGTCTGTCCACAAGACTTACACAGTTGCATCAATTGACAGAGTTTAACTTTGCTCTTCAGAGGTAGTTTCTGGTGTGAACACTCGTCATCTCTCAGTGCCCAGTGTAACAAATAGCATGCCAAGCAAATACAAGTGGTGTGGGTAAATATGTTAGGGGTAGGCTATGGCATATTATTTTTCCATGTGTGTGGCGACAGCTTTTATGGCCTGGCAACAGATCTGCCCCTTTCAAGTATTTTATGTGAAACTTTATGAAGCTGCCTGCTGTCAGGTGTTGCCTACATTGCAGGTGTGCACAAAGTCAGTGAGTAGTAAAACATCTCCTTTAATACTGTGTGCAGTAACAGCTGTATGTGTGACGACTTTTTCCTCTCCTTTCCATTTAAAACAGAACGCTACAGACAGCTCCTCTAACTCCTCTCAAAAAAGGGAACAGCCTGTGCGAACTCTGGCTTCTCCTGCATCCTGCGAACACCGAAGAATTTGCACTCGTGGACACCTTCACGACCATTATAGCTCTGACCACTACCATCTAGAACAAGTAAGGTTTCTTCCAGTGTTGCCACCTAAAGAGCTGTGTCTGCCATAGCTAAGGTGTTTGGGTTTCCCCCCACAAGCCTAAAAGACACCACCCCATCTCCTTTCTGCCCCTTTCCTTCTCGGTTAGCTTTAAATTGCTTCCAGTTATTGAAAATAAATAAATACATAAATAAATAAATGGGCTTACTCTATGATCCAAGTCCAGAGGAGGGGCACAAGGATGGTCAGGGGACTGGAGCACCTCCCATATGAAGATAGGCTGAGAAAGTTGGGGCTGTTCAGCCTGGAGAAGAGAAGGCTGCGTGGAGACCTCATAGCAGCCTTCCAGTATCTGAAGGGGGTCCTACAGGGATGCTGGGGAGGGACTCTTCATTAGGGACTGTAGTGATAGGACAAGGGGTAACGGGTTAAAACTTAAACAGGGGAAGTTTAGGTTAGCTATAAGGAGGAAGTTCTTTACTGTAAGGGTGGTGAGGCACTGGAATGGGTTGCCTGGGGATATTGTGAATGCTCCATCCCTGGTGGTGTTCAAGGCGGGGTTGAACAGAGCCTTGGGTGACATGGTTTCGTGTGAGGTGTCCCTGCCCATGGCAGGGGGTTTGGAACTTGATGATCTTCAGGTCCTTTCCAACCCTAACTATTCTATGATTCTGTGATCTCTTCATCAGGGACTGTAGCGATAGGACAAGGGGTAATGGGTCAGAACCTGAGCAGAGAAAGTTCAGGTTGGATATAAAGAAGAAGTTCTTTACTGTGAGGGTGGTGAGGCACTGGCACAGGTTGCCCAGAGAAGCGGTAAGTGCTCCATCCCTGGCAGTGTTCAAGGCCAGGTTGGACAGAGCCTTGGGCAACATAGTGTGAGATGTCCCTGCCCATAGCAGGGGTATGAAACTAGATGATCTTTTCAACCCTGACCATTCTGTGATCTAGTATTTTATGCTGTATGATGTGCACACAGACCATTGTAGGTTTGTGACAGTTGTTCTTATTCCCCAGTCAAAGGCTGAGACTCTGTGATTCGTCAGGGAAGGGTGTACAAAGAAGGAAAGAAGAAATTGTTAAATATTGGCTTTTCAGATAAGCAAGGAGGCAGTGATTGCCGATAGCAAAGTGACCTTATTCTTTTCTCCCTCTTCATCCCTGCTTCCACAGTCAGTACCGCGATCCTATCGGCACGTCAACTTTCCAGATGATGATGAGGAGATAGTGCGCATCAATCCTCGGGAAAAGATTTGGATGACTGGATACGAGGACTATCGCCATGCCCCAGCACGGGGAAAGAACTTTGATCCTGATGACATGGACTCCTACGTACGTTTTGCCAAAAGTGAGGCCTCAAAACACGAATACACTTATCCTTACGTAGACAACTCGGACTTTGACCTGGGTGAAGATATCAAGGGTGCTGTGATAAAGACTCAACCTGTCAAGTTTAAGCCCAGGCGGAAGGAAGATGGGGAGAGGTCACGGTGCGTGTACTGCAGGGACATGTTCAACCATGAGGAGAACAAACGGGGTCAATGCCAGGATGCTCCAGACCGCGTCAAGACTTGCATCCATCGAGTGAGCTGTATGTGGTGCGCAGACACTATGCTCTATCACTGTATGTCCGATCCAGAAGGAGACTATACAGATCCTTGCTCGTGTGACACCAGTGATGAAATGTTTTGCCTCCGGTGGATGGCCCTTATCGCCTTGTCTTTCATTGCTCCATGTATGTGCTGTTACTTGCCGCTTCGGGCTTGTTACCACTGTGGGGTCATGTGCAGGTGCTGTGGTGGAAAACATAAAGCTGCTGGATGACTACAGATGCATTCAAAGTGTTACGTTTTTTCTGTAGTTCAAGGAACACATTGGTTTCGGAGCATTGAGATCACTCATTTTGATGCAGCCACTGTGCCCAACAGCATCCAGAAACCACCAGTTCGGATCACTTTACATTTGGTCGTCTGGGGCTCACACTGCATTGATTTGCTCATCAAGTGTTCTAACTAACTAACCTACAGCATAGACTTTTGTATTATTAATCTGTAATCAAAACAGACTGTCTTGTACATGTTGGTTTTTTTTTGTTTTGTTTCGTTTTGTTTTGGGTTTTTTTCCAGTTAAAATGAGTTTGAGAAAAGAACTTTAAATGGTGGTGGATTGTAAAACATCTCCAGGTTGTGTCCGTCTTGCCTCCGCTTGTGTGGTACCATCAGCGTGTTAGCAAGCTGTGGCATTTCTAGAAACGGGGTGGTGTAGTGAATTGAAATCTCACTTGGAAGATATTTTAACTTGCCGTCAAGTTATTGTGTGTGTATAGAAGGTGTGCTAGTAACAAACTTGTACCACAACACAGTATTTCTGTCACTGGTTTTCTTTGGGGTTTTTTTGTTCTGTTTTCCAAAGCAAAAATAGCCATCTAAGCTGCAGTTTCTCTTCTAGAGTCCATCGTCATTTCCTTGAGCAAACATCTTGAATTATTTCTGTTCATAAAGCTCTGTGAACAGAAAGCAAGGCTCAGTTACCATAGTCGCATAGCCATTGAGGATCTGGTAGTTCTCCTTACCTGTAATCATTTCAGACCACTACTTGAAAGAGAAACTTAAATTTTAGGGTTTTCTTTTTTCCCTAAATAACATTGGAAAAATAAAACTGTGTTTTTTTCAGAGTTCTGCCCAAAAGAAAGGGAACTTCTTCCTTAGCCAGCCATGTAATGATCTGTGAATAAAACACTAAGGTTCCAGATGAGGAAAATTGTTGTTATGCAAAGAATTACTAACAATGCAATGTCAAAAGCACTATTATGGCAATTCTGGGGAAATGCTGCATTAAGTGGTGGATTATATGGAAAATTGTATTTGCTTGTTCGTTTTCTGTATAATAACATGAGCATGAGAACATACGCGTCCACAGTAGAAACTACATTTAGCAATCTAAGCAGGTATGTAAAACCAAAAGCCAGGCTGTTAACCACCACTTCCATTTCCTGACCTGCGGTCCCAGTCCTCCGGATGCTTACACATGTCTCGATGTATTGTGTGTAGGATGAAGCATGTGAGGCTTTGCAGGAGCCAGACCGAAGCGTCTCCCTGGCTTTTCCCTTCCCCAGTTCACCACCCAGATTTATCAAGTGGATGCATAAAGGTGCATATACAGCAGGATAAGATTACTTTAAGTTTTTTATTATTTTTTTTTTAATGTCATGTTGTCTTGTGTACAAGGCTTGTAATTAGCTTGGAAAAAGAGTATTTTTCTAATATATTACAAGGAATAGCCAAATAATTTTTATTAAAAATAAAAATAAAAATGATTTAGCGCAGTGAGCTCTAACTAGCATAGTACAATCTGAATACTTTGAGGCAGCTAGGGATTGGCTTGTCAAAGCTGGCACTGCTGTTCCTGCCATAATTTCTTTCTGCAGTAAATTGCCAGTGGGCGCATGTCCTTTCCCTCCCTCTATTGCACATTGACATCAGTCTTAAAAAGAGAGGAATATTTTCTTTTTTTTTATTAATTTGCCAAATAAATGTAAAAGGAACGCTTGCCATTCTTTCTTGGTGGAATTTCCAACAGTTCCTCTGAGAGTTAATCACAGCTTTTTAGTCAACCATGAATTAAGTATGCAATGTGCTTATACACTATAGAGTTTGGTAGGTTTAATTCGTAGCAGTTGCTGGGGATTTTTTCGGTTGGGAAAAAGAAACGAATGACAGTGGAAAAGGGATGGAGTGTTACGCTCTGGGTGATGTGTCTGGGTTTGCTGAATGAAATAGTATTTTGTGCCTAATAGCAGTTGACAAATCTCTCAATGGTGTCTAATAAACATCAAGCCAGCCTCGAGGAAAAAAAAAGAACCATAATGGAACAACCTTTTCCTTTTGATTTCTGTTCTCCAAGTTGTTTCATGTAAACAAACATCTGTAAGATCTTCTCTCTATAAAGCACAACACTACAAAAAGATCTTACAGCTTTTTGTCCGGTCTTGAAGTGCCCCTATTTATTTAAGTAAAGTGGACATACTCCAAGCCTTTCTGTATGTCTGGAAATAAAAGTTTAACAAAAAAAAGAAAAAAAAAATCCCTCTTTTTTATTTTTTTTTATTATTAATTTTTGTCCTTCCTTTTCCACCCTTTTCTCTTGGGTTTTTTGTAATACTTGTAGATTTTTTCTGCGTGTGTTATTTGGTTTGTGAAGGCAGTGGTGTAAGGGCACAATGATAGAAATGGGTGTTGTTTTGTAAATACTGCTCCTTGATTTCCACACTGCTGCTGAACAGTGTGTGGCGTTCTCCCCGTCAGCTTTGCAATACTGACATCGATCATTTGAGAGGAATTATTCAGATTTTATTTTTGTATCTGTGGTAACAAACCATTAACCAAATTTTCCTTTTTTTTTTTTTCCTGTTTTTGGGTTTTTTTTTGTTGTTATTTTATTTTTCTCCAAGCTATCGCTCACATTAACAAATTAAAGTGCCTGAAGCCTCATCGTTATTGTATCTATATACTAAAAGTTAAAACCCTGTTGTATTGATTTTTATAAGCCTTTTTACCTCTGTGTAAAAAAAAAAACCAACAAAAAACCAACAAAAAACAAAAAATATATATACAAGTGTATGATGTACATTTTAGTTCTTAACTTCTTTTTTTATTGTTTCTAATATGTATGATCAGTGTAGCTATTGCTTTAAAATGTACCATGTAAATACAAATACATCATATCAAAATGATGACGTTTATTGTCGCAATGACGCCGTTTCTTGTTGTCCAGCTGGAAAATGAGGGGGGAAGGAAATGGGGACGCCTCAGGAGCTGCAGCCCCAAAACCTTGGGGTTTCTGAGGTAAAAACTTGATTTATTGAGCATTTTTGGGTGGTGAACATTCCCTGCCTTGGGCACAGGCTGTTCTCACCCAAACGCAGTGGGGAGCAGGGGAGCGGGTCTGTTTTCAAGTGGCTTTTAGGTCATTTTTGGGTGTTTCTCACCTTCTGGGGGAGGGTGCCCAGAGGCCTGTGCCCCAGGAGGCTGTGGTGGCCATGACAGCAGCCCAGGTTCCTTCAGCTCTCCCTTCTCCCCAGCTGAGCTGCTTTAGGCAGAACTAAATACATTACAAGGGCTGTTTTTATTTTATATTGCTTCACATAAGCACAGCAGCCCTGAAGAAAGGGGAAAGCAGAGAGAAAAGCGGCAGATAATGGCTGCTGAGCAAGGGCGGCCTTGCTTCTTGAGGGCACAGCGCAGCTTTGCAGGGCTGGCCAGGGGCTGCTGCTGCTGCTGAGGGGAGAGCCATGGGGCGGCTGGCACTGCCGTCCCTGCTTGGAGACGATGGAAGAGGAATAACCAGGCTGATATGAACACCAGGCTGCAGACAATCGACTGAGGAAACTGGGGGGAATCTGGTGAGTATCCCAGAATCTTTGTGTTTATTTTCAAAGGGGGCTAGTCAGGCCAATGCCAACCACTTCAGTTCTATTTACTGCAGGTAACTTTTTGCCCAGAGAAGCTGTGTTCAAGGCAGGTTAGACAGGAGCAACCTGATGTAGTGGAAGGTGTCCCTGTCTGTGGCAGGGGTTGGAACTGGATGGGCTTTAAGGTCCCTTCCAACCTAAACCATTCTATGAGTGTGATACAACCAGCTGTGCTCCCTTTTCTATGTGCTGCTGCTTGTTCCATTGCTGAACAGGAAAGCTGCCTCAAGTGGCATGTAAGAAGGGAACAAAGAGTACATGCACCAGACTATTTATTGTCTTATGAAAGGTTTGCTCCCTGCAATGTTGCTTTGCATGATCTGCACCCACCCAGCGCATTGGCTGGCGCATTGGTTGCGTAAGTAACCTCGGTGTTTAATTTGCCACAGCTTTGCTGAGATCCCTGAGTCCCCTCTCACTTTTTATTGGTTTCTATTTGTATTTACATACTTCTAGAAATATTCTATGATTATATAAACAGATTGCTGTGTATGTTTATTATACAACTGTATGTTTGTTATACATTTAAAAACAACAACTTTGTGTGCTTCATGAGAAACGCATGGTGGGCTGGGTTTTGTGTTCAGGAGCACACAAAATCCTTTGGTCTTTGCTGCTGTGGGCTCCATCTGCGGCTAAACCAAGGGCAGAGTAACTCTGACAGCCTGTTGCTCACAGTCCGTCATGCTCTCTTGGCTAACTATGGCAAGAAGACTTCTACCCTGCTTCCTGGTTGTTTGGATTCAGAATGTCCCACAGAAGACCTGGCTAAGCCACGTATCTTGGAGCCTGCAGCCTTCTTGTTTTCACCTATGAATCAAAGGGGTTACTTATGCCTTGAGATTTCTAAAGTGAACCGATAAATGGCACATTCGGACTCTGGATCCATGGAAAATGCAAACTCCACCAAGATACAAGGCAACATGAAAGTCAATCAACCTTCTGCAGGCTAGTTGGTGTGGAGGCCCCAGACTTACTCGTGCTGATCATCTGGGATGGGTGCTATCCTCTCAGCAGGATACAATCAAGGAGATTTGGAGAGGACACAGATATAAGCTCACAACCACAAGAATCAAGGATAAGTATTTAATGGCCTTTAAAAATACGTATATTTCACTAGTAAACGTAAGACAAATTACATTTTAGAACAACATCCTTTCACCCAGGCTGAGTTTTAGGGGCTGACAATGCAGCTTTGCATTCTATAGCAAAGAGACAACATTAAATCTGCTGCTACCATTGCCTGGGTCAGAATGGCTCTCCTGGCCTCTCCTTTCCCTGCTTTGGCAGCAGGAGCAGCACTGATCCAGTTCACCGCCAAACCTTTCTCCTAGGGAGGCATCCTTGGGTTCAGACAAATGTTATCACAGCAGTCCCACCTGTGTGAGCTTTTTTCCTTGTAGCCTGTGTAACTGAAGAGGCAGAGGGCAAGGAGAGGATTTTCTTGGCTGTGCTCGCTCAGGAAACCTGCAAATACTTCTAACAAGCCTCTCCTCATAAAGCAGTGTCAGGTCAGGAACTGCAGGGTGAACGGAGGGTGACTGTGAGGGATAACCAGTGTGGGTCCCTCCAGCTACAACAGCTCTGTTTTCCTGCAAGGTATCAAGATAAGAGCTAGTCAGGAGTGACTGTAGCTGCCCACTGTTGCCTTCAGGGGCAGAATGTTTGCATGAGGAGGGCTCACCCAGCCTCCTTTAGTCACTCAGGAATAAAAAGTTTTTCTCACTCTTCTCAAAGAGCTGTAATTTAAATAGGAGGAACTGACTTATCCCTGTTGTGAAAATGAGTAAGTCCAAGAGAGTCTGAATGATTTGTGTAATGTCACACAGTAACCTGTGGCGTGGAGTATCCTGAGCACAAATCCACCACCATCTTCATCCAAAGGTCATCCCTCCGGTCACTAAAGATCGACTGAGAGGTTTGGGCTTCTACAAGAGCCTTGTGGCATGGAGCACAAACCAAACCAATAGGCCCAGCCAGCAAGGAATGTGTAAATCTCCTTTCTCTGCTAATTCCACTTAGAAATGCAAATTGGAAGTAGATGTCAGGATGCCTGGAAACAAGAGGTATCACTGCATGTGTTCCCAATTCTTATCACAGGCAGAACTTGGCTTCTTGTACAGACCAAATGCAGCCTTTTTCACAAATCGATTGAGAGCGCGTGCTTGCAGCACTAGCAACAGGAAATGCTTTCCTTTCTTCACCACATGATGCTAGGTGACTTAACATCCTCCTGACGCCTTGTCCTTTTCCAGGATGTTCAGCCTTCTGGTATTTTCTTAACATTTTCAATTAGGCAATTAAATCCCTTAGTATCTTGGTGGCATACGTGGAAATAAATAGAAAAACGTTTGGCTTCCACCCAGAGACAAGATATTTAAATGGTGGAAAGTATGTGTGTATTTTTGGGGTGGTGTACTTAGATCTCTACAAATTCTTTTAGTTGCTTCCCTGCACAACCATCCCATGCCATTCATCTCATTCCCCCATTCCCCACTTGTAAATTCATTTGGGAAGAGTTAACAGCCTTTGGTTTGGCTCCTGCTAGATTTCAAGCCTGCTGCCTAATGTTGTGTGAGACAGGATCTCACAGCAGCACTCTGGGTGGTTGTAAAGGGAAAGGTTTCCGAGGCCTGTAACACACCCCATCTCTCTGCATGAGCAATCACAGCTCCATGCACTGATGTGTGCTCTGAGGTGGCAGGGAAAGTACAAAGTCATTTCCAGACCTCATATAATTCATGTAATGACCTAAGGAGTCACTGATGTTAAGAATACGTATCCTTGCATGGAGAGCTAGAATTAATGCCGGCTTAGGGATGTCTAAGACATTACCAAGTCATACACAGCCTTGAACTTAATTCTTACCTAGAATATTTAATTATTCTTAATTATATAGAGAGTGTAATGTGAACTGACATTTCTTTTTCTGCATTTTCTAAGGTTATGTCACAATGAGCTGCAGAATTGGCCAACATCAGTTTTAAGGGAATTGACAGGACTACTATCGGGCTTACCACTTTGAGTAAGCATTTTTCTGATTTTCACACTCTTATTATTTCCTCTGTTTCAGTGTTGTGCCAATGTTAACTTATTATCTGCTTAAGCTCTTGATGTGAGATTTCAGTATTATGAAAAAAAGAACAGGGATGGGGAACTTGTCAGCGCAAACAGCAAGATCTTTAATGCTGGAATATCAAGTCTGATATGTTCCCAAATGTACCCTATCTTCTAATCTGGGATTTCCGGTAGTCACATTATGTTTAGCTCCAACCTGATTCAGAAACTAAAAGCTCAGGCACTTCTAAAATTCTGAGCATTAACATCCTTGTGCCCTGGAGGGCCATTTCCAAGCTTAAAAGCTCAATTCCAGAACTACTGAACTCAAGTGATTTCACTTTAAAAGTGCTTACTCTTTACAACTTCCTGAGAACAATGATAAAAGCCAGGTTAGAAAGTATAACTTTCAACCACATTTGCAAAAGTGCTGGCCACAACTTAAAACAGAGAGCATTTTGATGTGCACAGCCAAAAGAAGCAGCACTCTGCTGTTTTTGTTCATGAGTCTAAACATTGCAAAATTCAAATCCCAGTAAATGTGTCTCACAGAACTGAGCAGCTAAAAAAGACAAAGTAGAAACTAGGGCTGAAGGCAGGGTATATGGTTCACCCCAGATATGAAACAAAAGTAGAAATGCACTAATTTTTCTTCTATTTTAATTGGTTTTTTTTTGGGGGGGTGCCTAAAATGAAGGTTCTGCTGTCACAGTAATGTACTGATGCAGGGCCTGATGTTCAAGCTAAGGTACCCCCAGCAGTTTCTGCATATTCCTGCTGGGAAGGGCAGATGATCTGTGCCTCTGAGCGTTCAGACCATCACTGCAGCTCTGGCTGCCAAGCGGGAAATGTATATACACACATATATGTATGTGCATGTGAGCATGCGTATCCTTTTGGAGCAAAAATTGCCAACATGAGCTAAAACCCCAAGTGACAGTTACCCTTTAAATAAATAAATAAGCAGGTAAAACTCCAGCTGTGTGGCTGACCCTGGTGGCTTGGCAACAATGAATGGGGTTTTCTGTGCAGTGGCCCCAAGTGTTGGGTATCACTGCAGGATTTCTTTGTTTGTGCAGTGATTAGACCTCAGTGAATGTCTTCATCATGGGGAATACCCCAGAACCCCATTAAGTGGTTGAGCCAGCCACAGAAAGGGAAGGCTTCCAAAGGAGAAAATGAAGCAATAGGATGAAGCAGAGTTTTCTGCTCAGAGGAGTTATCTGCTCTGCTATGACTTGAGGGTCACATGCTGAGTGGTCAGTGGCTTTGTTTCTCTGGGGACAGTGAGTGGTCTGTGGGGAAACCATGGCATTTTGGGGAGTAGGAAAGCCTGTTTATTCATTCATCTGCCTGAAATGGAGGGGTTTGGTGCAAAGGCTGGAGAAAGGCAGCCTTTGCAGTGATGCACCAAAGTTTATATATGGTTTGTACCATCTACCACAGGGCTGAGATATAGTTGTACTTCCACGTGTAGCCAGAAGTACCACAGGCCTGGAGCAGGATGCTGGGTGAGAAGAGTCCTCACACTTAAGCCCTGCTTTGCAGAGAGATTCAAAGGGCTGTAATGTGTCAGAGAGGAAGCAAGAAATACCACATACATTTCATTTCAAAACTCTAGCATGCACCACAGGTGCAATGCTATTTGCTGCATTCGTGCTTCCTTAGACTTTAAACAAATGGACTCTTTCCAGCAACAGGTAGGAGAAGACTGGAGAAGAAAAGAACATTTGACAGCAAGAGACTGCATTCCCCAGTTCCCTGACTCCATTTAAGTCAGTAGCAAAAATCCCATACACTTAAGCCAGGATTTGTCTCCCAGGGTTTGAAGGATTTGGATGTCAGTACATCAAGATTTGACACTACAGAGTACCTCTTCCACTAGCATCTCTCTGAGGTGTACTTTCCATGGTCTTCTCCCTTCCTCATTCTCCTAAGGGGCACTATGTACAATGACAGCCTAAGTCCATAAAAAGGGATTTCTTATCCTACACAGTGCACCAGCTCTACAATTTTGTCTTTAAGGAGCTGTGTGTGAAGTGGAAGTCACTTTCTGCTCCTTCAGAGTTGCAAGTGGGTGAGTTAGTGGTAAGAGCATCCTGCTGACAGCCCGGGAAAGTTTTTGTGGGACCCCAGGATCACTGGTTCTAACCTTAGCACCTTTGCTATCACCTTTTTTCCTGTGCCAAACTGCCAGGTCATTTCATTCACTTGGACCTTCAAAAATAACAGATGGCAAAGTGAAAAATATATCTAGGAGGAGTAAGCAGTGTTTACTTGTGACAAACTGGCAGGGACCTTCCCTCAGCCACCTTGCATTCATTTTTGACAGCTTAGAAGGTTTTGAGCTGTCACTGGTTCTTTCAGGTATTAGGTTGAATTTCCATTCAAAAAGGCTGAAAGGTGCCTATGTACTAACATACATGAGAAAAGGGCCCTATAACAAAGAAGCACCCCTGAAAGGGCTCTGTTTTCAAACCCACTCACATACATAATGTTTTAAGAGCTGTCACCATCAGAGCACATTTTATGACCAGTTCCTGAAGGAAGTGGTTGTAAAGATGTGGCACGAAGAGGAGAAAATCCAGGTGCTGAGCAGAGAGCTTTTGAACTTATAGCAAATGCGTGATAGTTTTTTCTAACCAGAACAACTGCTGCTTGTGACCATCTGAACTTTGAGCTACAAGAAAATGTCTTTGGGGTTCGTCAGGCTGATATCCTGTCTCTAACCACAGCCTGTACCAGATACTTCAAAGGCAAAGAATACAAGAAACTCTGTATTGGAATCATCTGCTAGCAGAGGAAATTTCTTCCCAACATCAGACAGTTTGTCACTGATTTAACCCCTCTGACAGGAAAGTTTATGTGCCTCTTAAAAAACAATCCAGTTGAATGTAACAGTGATGTAAGTTTGTTCATTAAGCCTAATGATTTTTTGTTTGATATGTGTTTGATTTCTCTGACCTACCATTACAACCCTCCTACCATTTTCTCTGGAGATTTTTCTTGTGCTAAAGTAACAGTTTGATTCTTTTTCCAGCCAATTTTTATATAGATAACCCTGCAAAGTTAATGATGCTCAAGAGCTGAGGCCCTATAGCAGCCATTTTGCAAATGCCAGTGTCTCCTTCAAATCCTTCTCCTGGCAAGTGTTTTTTATCCCCTTTTATGGATTCTTTAACCTTAATTTTCTTATTGTTGGGATGACACTGTGTTCTTACTGTAGTACAGTTTCTCTGAAGCCTCTTATGTGTCAAAAGACACAAAACAGATTGAGGATATGAAAAGACAGCAAATTTATTGGTTTGTTTATGTGTCAGATTGCTGACACTGAACTGGATTTGTAATATTTGCTTTCTGGGACTTAGATACTTTCAAAGAAAGATGGCTGTGCTGTGGCTCTGAATACAAACTAAGGTGCACTGGGTGTCGTAGATGAAGGTGTAAAGTCCATATTTAGGCTCTATAGTACAAGTGGCTTTGCTATGAGAGGTGCTGAATGTCTTTGTTTCTTCCTGAAACCCACAGTATTTCCTAGCTGGGTAGGTGTAAAACATTGGCCCCACTGAGGTCAATGGCAAACTTCCCACTCCCTTCAGTAATGTATAATCACCCCCAAAATACAGAATTAGGAGACTAGTTATTGGCAGCTATTTTTCTAAGAGCCCAGTTAATACATAGGTCGTTATCCAAAATGCCTCTTTGTGTTTATTTCTTTGTACAAAGCTCTTCTATGCATTTTCTCAACTCCTATAAAGAAACACAGAAAAATTCAGCATCCTGAATTGCCATCACAGCCTATTTAAAGGCATCTATTCAGCCTTAGCCATAAACAACACAAGTGAAAGACCTACTTTGCTTAAGACATGGTCTGGCCAGGTGAGCAAGTCAGCCAAATAGTAGAAACTTAGTGGTTCTGATTTAGAAACTCATTGGTTAATGTTTGGATCCTAGATTGAGACTTCTAATTTGATTGTTTAGCAGTTGATTGCTTCAACATGAACTACAGATGATCAGCAGTTCAGGAAGTCAGGACATAGATTGCTGAAAATAGGGAGGTTTTAAGCTGTGGGTCCTAAGGCTCTGCTCCTCATTGAATTTAATCACACCTTGGAGTAAAAAGACACACACAGATTCAACCTTGGCTTGGTTTCTAACAGATCTGAATTTGCACCATTAATCTTTTGCTTGCTCTACTCCCATAATGGTTCTTGAGCCACGTGGTCATTGAAAACCAAACTGAGGTCTTGCAGAAGTTAATTTCCTATGAGCTTCATAAAAATAGGCAGCTGGGTAAAATAGAGAGCTGTTAGTGTGCTTGCTGAGCCCATCCCTGATCAGACACTGGGAAAACAATGTGGGAACAGCCCTGTTATGAATGCCCTACCTGGGGATAAGCTCCGCTGGCCGTCATGCCCTGCTGGACGATAAACATCCACCCCACAAGACCAGCTTCACTTTCACACCATACCTCTCTGAAACAGCCAGTCATGCTCAGACACATCCTTTGGAAAGCAAGCGCTGTTGTTTTCATCGCTTGTGGAATACTTGTTTTAACATATACCAGTGATATCTAGGAGGGAAGTGACATGTTTTCCCAATCAGGGCAAAGAAATGTGTCAAGTAATGCCCTGTTTTTTTTCAGTCTGGCTCTAGCTGCTAAAGGTCTGCTTCACGATTTGTTAATTCAGCTGAGAGTGTTGGCTGTATCTTTGAAGGGCTGTAGGTGGATGAATTGCTTTATTTTTGTTGTTGCCAGATTAAAGTCTGCTTTCACCTTTTTCCTCACTTGCTTGTGCATAAATATGAGGATCTTTCCATCTGTGAAACTGAATTACTGTAGCTGGAAAGCCAATGATTCCAAGAGATTTCCTTGGGCTTCTAATTGCATGAATAAAGAGATTCCTGGGCTCCAAAAGGCTTAAAATGTCTGGATCCTGCTAATAATAGCACCCCAAAGGGAATAGTCCAGCTGACTGTATGTAGGCCAGACTTAATCAATTAACACACTGAGATAATTATATACCAGCTTATGAAGCCACCTAAATATGCTCACGTGTGAAGACAGCCACTAGCTACAGGACGTCTGATGGCTTCACAAATTAAATAGCACAGAACTGTCAATGGGGTCGGAACTTGATGATCTTAAGGTCCTTTCCAACCCTAACTATTTTATGATTCTCTAATATTTAGCTCTGGGATTTCCAGAAAGCCACACTGAGATTGAGAGCAACAGTGGTTCCTGAAGAAACGTCTATCTTTCCATGCTAATACCTAAACTAAAACCATGGCTCAGGGGACACTGATACCAGAAATAATGTCTTTCAGATGCACTCCTTTATGGGCTGGTGGTTGCAAACTGTTCGGCCAGAGTCAATAGGACCTTTTTTGCGCATGTCTCTGCAGAGCGGGGTTCCGCGTACAGAAATGTTGCTTACTTTGGAAGTTTGGACTGTACACGTCTCCACATTGTTCAAGTTCATGTGAGCCAAAGTTTGCATAACAGCTCTTGAAAAAGTGGGCCTCAAAATGTCAAAGGGAGCCCCCTTTCATGTGAAAGATGAAAGCCACGTTGTCTTGGCTGAGTTCCAGCATCTATCCTTGTGTGTTCAAGCGGATGATGGAGGTTTTCTTGTGGTGGCTCCTGAACTGGGTGCCCTTTTACAGCCAATAAAGCTCAGTTGATTTGCCTTGATTTTGCTGTGGGCTGAATTGCATACAAAGGGGTTACAGTAAACTCTTAATTGGTGGCTGCTTGAATGTGTGTGAGAGCCCATGGTTCACCCATCTGTACCATGAGGGCAAAAAAGGGGTCCCTTCCTTTTTGACCCTTTTGTCTGATGTGGTTTGTTTGCAAGATCTTCCAGGCAGGGATTGTTACCACATGGTTGCACACTGTCTACTGGGATGAGGGACCCTGGTCCCAGTAGTAAATTACAGCCTTCAACAGTTACTCTCACGTGAATAAAATACGACCAGCAGAGTGATCCAAGTCATTTATCAAATAACCCACAGCTCCACCCGCGTACAGCTCCTCCAAATGAATCCTGAGGTTAATTAAAAGAATCTAAAGAATGGTGGGGTTAGGGTGATTTTGGTTGAGCACTGAAGACTGATGTATCCTCACAAGGTCCCCGTGCTCTTCCTCGGGGCTGGCGGTTTTGCATGGTTGCTGGCCAGGCGCCGAAAGACCACAGCTAGGTTTCTAGCTCCCCTGTGCAGGCTATGCCAAACGACAGGTTTAAATATTCATCGCATTCCTGACATGCCAAATCATCTAAGTTGGAAAGCAGAAGCCCAAGATTTTGCAAAGCTGCTTTTGCACATAAAGACCATTAAAAATTCATCATGACAGGGAAAAAACAACAACATTGCCAGTAGTAGGGAACTTCGTGTTGACTTGGCTAATGCTTTGTGGGGCTAAGTTAGAGCTAACCCATGCTAATCCACTTAAATGGAAGGGTTAGCCTGATCCAGTAAAAGCAGTAAATCCTCTTTACAGCTGACCATACTCCAGTTGCACTATAGGAGAACAGGGCTGAATGGCAAACAGTCGACAGGAGGTAACTGGATGGGGCCTGACTTTCTAATGTGCTACGTAATTTAACCCACAGCGTCCCCTTTTCCCCTTTTGCACAGACCGGTTGTGGGTAGGACCACATCCCAAAGTTCTTGGCACCAGAAGCGGAATGACAGACTGCGGAGTGGGGAAACTCCTTGCCAGTAGAGAGCTAGAAAGGTTGAAGCAGCTCTCCGTCATCGCAGGGAGTGGGTACCCGAGATGCCTGTTGGCAGAGTTACTATCTCAGGCAGCTCGAGACGCAGGAAGCAGAGATGGACAAACACCTGACTTGGAGCTGTTGGGGCTCTGCCTTGCCTTGGAGACAGCCTGCAGATGTCAGGAGAGAAGGGCCAGCTGCTGCTGCCTTGCTATGGGTGAGGAGCGAACTGCGTTGCTGTTAAACTCCCAGAATCACAACTGAAGCTGAACTGGCTCTGAAGCAAGTGGACCCACATGTCTGGGAATTGGCTGTTACTGTCAGAGAGCAATTTTCTCAAGGCTGACCAAAGGCATGGAACTAACTCCAGACTGGGTGAATATCTGTTTCCTTATTCCTCTGAGAAACTGGGCCTGAATTTAAAAGGCCGTTTAACACTTTGAAGCCACCCACAGTTCTGTCTTTGCCTCCCACACAAGCTCCAAGGAACTGACTCATTCCCACCGTATTTTCAGCTGCGTGTAGATCCTGCTCGCAGCCCAGGAGGATCCCCGTTCAGCCAAGCGAATCAAGCACACATTGTGACTTGAGTTAGTGGGTCTTGAAAGGGTTTTTGCCATGCCGACTAACAGTCAACTGTATCTGAAGACATCTGGCCTGCCTTTTAAAGTAGAGTAGGAACCATATTCTTTAGTTAGCTGTATAATTTATGCCTTGTCTGCTGTTCTCTATTCATGATGCTTCCTTATGTTAAATAGCTCTCTGTGAAAATACGTGACACTGTCATCTGCTGTTAAATGAAAAGAGGTCTGCTCTAGGAGCAGGCATTCACCTCTTCTCTTCCCTTCTCCGTGGCAAACTTGTGTTGCTCATGTTCCCATGAGACGCACCTTTGGGCTTTGCAGCACTTTAGAGAGTGTGAGTGATATGTACAGCTCTCAAGGGTTTATAACTCAGGAAAATCAACAAGCCTTGCTGCAAGGGGAGACATAGGGTTCTCCCTCTGTCCCCTGCCAATCTGACTAAGTTCAAATGCTCTTTCCAATTTGGACTAAAGTCCTGACATCCCTGGATTTCTAGCTCGCTAATTCTTCCACTGCTGAGGAAAACAACTCACTTCTTGCTGACATCATGATGTCCTCCTGTTATGCCGTATCCACTGTGAGTCTTTAAAGCTTCATGCTATGCCTGAACAATTACACCCACGTTTTGGCTGGGAAACAGAGACAAGTGAAGGCAGTTAGAAGCAGGACATGGGAGCCCTGCTTTCCATTTTCCTGTTCTTCACACTGGGCTCCTTACTGCTGTGTTTCCCTCTGCCTGGTAGCAAATCCCCTGCAAATACATGTTGGGGTCTCCGCTCTGTGCCTTTTCCCTGCTCCTCTGCAGACATAA